ACCTAAAAATGAGATTTGGGTCTACAAGTTCAGACTCTCGGGAACAGAAGTCTCCCTCCTCATACATAATTATGTATAGTTTCTGAAGAGGTGAAATGTCACACTGCAAAGAGATGGAAAATACATTAAGAGTGAATGAGTTCATCTTCCTGATACAGAACAGTCCCTGCACAGTAATGGGATTATGACAGCACTGAACATTTGAAAAAGTCTATACCGCTGTCTCTGCTATATTTGATTTGTATAAGAATGGATTTCCGTTCCCAGTAATGGCTTTTTCTCTGAGCTACCACAAACTCTAAAATGGGAAATAAAAATGGAATTTTGGGAAGATAGGAGCTGTCATAATCACTTGGTGACATTGCATCTTGCTATGCAGACAAAAGTACAGAGGAAGGACTGCGTAGTAACACTTGTGGAGTTCTCTAAGAGACAAGAAATATCTAAAAGCAATGGACAAAGTTGTGGCACAGTTTGCATGTCTGCTATTCCTACCTGCAGGTGGGCAGGAGGAGACAAGGAGTTGGTGGAGGTTTTGCTCTGCCCCAACATTCTGGCTGAGGAAAGATGCAGGGAGGGATGAAAACCTGTTAGTCACTTTTTACTGAAGAGTGTAGCAGACAACTCATCTCCCTAAACCCTTTAGACAGGGTAAATGGTAAAACTGCATTGTAGCACTGCTTTTTCACTGCACCCTTCAATGATGTTCACCAGTGTATTTCTTTCTGATGTGCAGCGACCAGTCTTATAACCATCTAGTGTAAATATATAACCAAGATTTTCTGAAACATCTTTATATACATATAGACTATGTAACAGTAATATTACAAATATGTAATATTGTGCAGATATACAGACATTGTATATACATTGTACCAAGCACTAGCAGGACAGCTTTCTTGTTATGTGGTTCAAGCACATTTATATGTAATGCAAGAGATTATTAGGCAAATTTTTATAAAGACTTTGGGCCTCTTACAAGTACTCGCAGCTATGTAAAGCTTCACTGCCGTTGTTTGAACAACCTCAAGAGAGGAGAAAAGTTATTCCTAGGCATATAAAAATTGTTTTTGTAAATAGGAATCAATTTCATTTACAATTTGCAAAACAAAATAAAGCAAAAACCCCACATTAAAAAAAAGGCAAAATCCAAAATTCATTAAAATGCCAGCCATCAGTAGATTAGACACACATGTGGGGTAAGATTTAGATGAGTTTGTGTTCACTTTTGGAAAGAAAGCATCTTTTTTGGGAACAAGAAAAACTCCAACTTACTGTTGCAGAATGAGAAAGTATAAGCAAGAAATCAGCATGAAAATTAAATTCTAATGCATAATAATACAGTTCTATTAGAAAAGTAAATTTTGGTAATAGCTCATTTTAGGAGCCACACTTCAACTGGACTGTCTATACAACTCTGTCTCACCAGCTGAATCCCCTAGTTACTGCTCTCACCTGTCATTTGACTCGTAGGCTGTACCACCACTTCTGCACACCTTGTACACTGCCATTACCCACTTTGGCAGGTTTTTACTACTCTTAGGTTGGTTTATATGGCTGATTGTGACTCTCATGCTGAATATCTTAATCCACTGACTCTGCAGGACGTTGCCTTTGGACGTAACCCGTGGAGTTCATAGGGGCTTTGGGGGGACTCAGGAGATCCCCATCTTTCTGAACTGCAGCAAATAGGAACTTTGCCTAATGATCTGGAGAGGCACTGAATGCCACTTTCTGCACTTTCCTGTAATATTTCATGACTCCAAACCCACTTTGACAGAATTCCACCCCACCAAAACCAAAGTGCAGTATTTACATATAGAAAGACTACTACTACTGATGCCTTAATGTAGGGATCAGCTCCACATGTTTTCACTTGTCTGTCTCTAGTAGGGCAAAAATGGCAAACAGTAGCCCACAAATATACCACATAGAACAAGTATTTTGGACCTATAATACAGTTTATTACTTTTACTGAAATCACAGAATCAAATGTTTTAAGATTACAACTGGTAAATTATACATATGTAATAGTTTACAAAACAAAATATTGGCCTTCAATGTGTCATACATAGTACAGTGTAGACCTTGTACAATTCAGTTCAAATGATTTTATATTTCGCATATTATTTATGATGTAAACTGGCTGACATAGTAGTGCTCTAAAAATGTTAACTCTCTTTGATTAGACACATACTAGGATGAAGAAAAAGTTTTGTGACACAACTTGGTTTTTCAAAGGGTACTGGTATTTCAGCCAAGTTATCGGTAATGTACAAAGTGACACTTTGCAGAATATGCTGATGCCAAGAGTGTATAAAGAGGCACATGAAATAAGCAAAACCAAATGTTGTGCTTTGCTGTTAGTCTTCCCTACAATACCTCTCTTGTTTTATCTTATCTGATGTTAGGAAGATGACCTGGCAATAGAAATTAAATGGATTTATTGCTATACAGGGGTATTATGCTGATGCCAAACTTAACTTGAATTCAGTATATCATTGCCTGTTATCTGACAGGATTTTAACAATACATATATGCTTGACTGTCAGTAAGTATGTTTCATATAATAAACTATCCAAAATTTTCACAGTTCATAGGATAAATTGTGTAAACCAGTTCCTGTAAATTAAAAGACAAATTATGCTGTCACTTAAAGCGGTGTAAGTCTGAAGCAGCTCCTGCAAAGCCAAATGATGTAATGAAGTTACTCTGAATTTACATAGGTATAACTAAACCCAGTATAACTGTTTTGCCCTGTGGATGGGAGTAATGGAGATTCAAATACTTGTGTGTATACATCCATGTGTGTGTTTATATATACAAAAGTATACACATGCACACACAAAAAATATGCATTTGCATTTAGCCACAGTTAAGTTCTACATGTGCCCATGTATGTGTTTCAAGAGGGAGTGTGCAAAGCTGATGTAAATGGAAATTATTTTAATGTCCTTGTAGTGTCCGTGAGCCTCTACAGTCAACTTCCAGGACAAAAAGCATCCTGAGTTTTGTTTTTGACCTGCAGCTCTGCAGTGTGCAGAGCACGTGTGTCTGAAGAGAAGTTCTTACACTGCTTACCTGGAAGACTATGTTTGGCGTGTTTCAAATTTTGTACACTATCACTGAAAACTTACACTGGTAATAAAATCTTCTAAAGCCAAAAGCTACATTTTGTGGTGCCAGCTGAGAACCTGACAATGTCTCTTACACTAAGTCATTACTGGTACACACGATAAACCAGAAATATTTGCATTTGCAATGCCATTCGAAACAAGAATGTTGAACTAGCAGTGTACCCACCATAAAAAAAAACCCTCTTGAAAATGTTACCCATGACAAGTATGAATGTAATGATGCACTCTGGCAACTCTATAAAAAATAATCACTTGAAAAGGAACAAACCTCTCCAAAACAGCAACCCTTTTTTCTAAAAATTGTAGCCCATGCTCAGAGTATCTATTTTTGGCTCTTGCCATAGGATCCATCTTCCTCAGTGACAAAGAACAGCATGGCAGTCATTAGCACAAAGAGAAACACTCACCTAAACTTAATGCTGAAAACCCACAATTTAATGTTCCATCCTTACAAATACTGTTTAAAGCCTTCCCTACAGACCATCGGAGTCAAGGCTTATAGTCAATCCCTGGCATTTTGGAGTGGGTCTTAAGTGAGGAAGCATCACTCACTGGCCATCACAAATTCATCCAAAGCCTTATGGCTGGCTCTAGGTCTTCAACAGTGCCTGAATGGCAGCAGACACTGGGCAGAGAGGCTGAAATGGAATTTAACTTGTGTGAATGTGGGCACTGATAAGCAAGAAAACTTTCAACAGTTTGAAATAAAGAGTATTTGCAGTCTGTAGTACTGCCCTTATGGTGAAGTGGCTACAGAAGTCATCTGTATTGTTAAATAAAACTGACTGTAGAAAAGCTGTAGGTTTGTCTATATTGCATTTTTCTTCCTTAAACTGGGCCAAATACAAGTTCCTTTGAGTTCAGCAGTTGTTGGATGGGATGAAAAGTGGAAGCAAACGGATACTGTTATTTTTTGAGGAAACACAGGGAATAAATGCTTTGCTGGCTGTTTTGTGTCTAACTTTGTCTGATGTGGTGCAAAGAGTTAGAATATAATGAAGTAAAACATTGCAAAGCCTTCCAAATCAGGCTTTTGACTTTTTATAGCCATACATACATATTTATATATGTATATAAATGGTGGAAAGACTGAAAAAGTAGCTTTTTTAATAGTTCAGTCTTCATAAATCAGATCATACATTGTTTCAGCTATATTTGTAAGGAGGCACACAAGAGTTTCTCTGTAGTGTTTTCACTTAAACGCAAGAAGCTGCGTGAGAGAAGACTCACTTGCTGCCCTGACAACTCAGAGAAACTTCATCCACATACAGACGACTCCCAGGTACTAGAAGCCTGAACTTGCTCTCATTGAAGCCAAGGGTGAGACACCTTACAGCTTCGGTGGTAAATCACTGAGGCATGCAGCATGAACTGCATGCATCCATGCAAAGCGAGCCTGTTGTCTGACTTCAAGAGCTGATATGGGGTTTTTTGGGTCCAGAGACTTGCTAGTTGAGAGATTTTCGAAGTGAAGTGTAACAAGGAGCATGAGGTGTCACAAAATTAAAAATCTACAACTTCTCTAAGAAAAAGATGGTAGAAGAAAAAGAACATACTTCTATACAGTGTGCACACATGTATACACATATACTCCTGTTTCATGCAGAAAGCTTTCTAAATAAAAACATACAAAAAATAACCAGTGCCATACATTATGTAAACTCACAAGGCATACTTTCAACATAAATTTGAAGCATAAATTAAAAGAGTAAGAAAGAGAGACAGAGACGATAGCGAACATTTTAAATATAGAATTTGCACAATTGATATTTTTGTTAAATAAGAATAAATAAATTCATTACATCCGTTCACATACCAGTTTCAAAAACAATAAATTATTTTATTTTTTCAGTGCTGTGTTGCTTTTTTTTTTTTACAATTGTAATTAATCCACAAGATTATTCCCTCTCCCCCTTGTGATAAAACTGTTTCCACAGGAGGGCAGCTAAACTTAATTTCTTGCATACTGTCAAACCAAAGATGACAAAGATGACAGTAGTGAGAGTATCTTACTTGAGAAGCAGATTCTCTATAAAACACTGATGTTGAGGGGTCCAACTCCACCTAAGGGAAATGGAGCTGTATCCCAAAAAGTCAGCAGTGAATTTAACACTAAGGACTGCTAATTTCTGTGAAAAGAGCAATACTCCAGGTTTCTATCCCCTAGAAGCAGTTTATGAATGCTGTTTGGCAACACTCGGTAGTAATGTAAACAATGACATAACAGTGTGAGAGACAAGGAATTTGGTTGACAAGTTGAAATGACACAGTCACATACCTTGCACTAACTTTTCATTCATCAGATACATGAAACAGCTATGACTGACAAAAGCAAGGTTTAGAACTGGAGTCTGATTACAAAGAACAGCTAAAAAGCAAGTGTTAACTAGAGCAGGCTGACCGCTAACTAGGTCACTATCTTACACTTTCAGGGTTGCTTCCTTGGTCTGTCCCCTTTGCCCTCTCACCAGCAACTGCTTTTTTCACATGTTAATTTGCTTCATTACTACACTAGTGAAAAGGGAAAAATCACTATAGTGGTTTGTTCTCATAGTTAATTTTTTATAAATAAACACTTTCTACGAAAAAGATACTCTTGATCTAAGGAAACTTTAAATTTATACCCGCGTATGGTATTACTCTTCTGGAGCCTGAATAGCAGCCAAAAGCTTTACTCATCTTGCTGAATATATAATAAATTATTACCATGATGCAAATACTTGCACATTCTGTCTCTATTATGATAAAACACAGGAAAAACAAATGCCACAATACAGCAGCTGTATTCAGAGACAAATGTCCATGCTGAGACACACTGTCTCCTTATTTTTCCTCTCATGATTGTTTGTTATGAACTTTTTTGAGAGGTTCTAGAACATGTGTAATAGATACATAAGTATAAAAATTAGATTACTTTAAAGGAAAATAAGACACTTCAAAGTGACCTTATGTTAACAGGTAGAGGAGACATAAATCTTACTTTTCTAGAACTCTGCAAATATTCAGAGCCTTGATCTCAGTTCCTATGGTGGGATCACAGATTAAGTGGGGAATTTTCCTCAAGAGTCACGGTTTTGCGTGAGGCTACTCCTAGTAAGAAGGCCACACCATTTTTGAATGACTAGTAACATTCACTGGTAATTCATTTTGACAGAGAAGGCAGCCCTGCCCCTATTACTGTTTATTTAGAAAAGGGTACAAAAATAGACACTTCTCCAGGTTTCATACTTGTAGATGTAGCAATTCTATGCTGTTTTGAAATCATCACATGCTTTCTAAGAGTTCATACAAACATGCCACAGTTGCAAAAACATATTTGTGTCAGCCTGGAGTGAGACCTGCCCTTCTTGCTACAGATGCCAACAAGTTTTCTCTACTGATTTCATGACCAGGATTTTCAGAAAAGCCTGGGATATTTCAGTGCTTGAGTACCCACTGACTCACAGCTGTGAAGCTTGTCTGAAAATCCTCTTGCAGTCTCATACTGATCTGTGGATGAACAAAGGAATAAAAAACAGGTGGTATTCTATTTTCATGAGTGTATTATAACCATTTTTTTCAGTACCTGTTATTCTAGGGCTTAATTCAAAGCCTGCTGATATAAAAGGAAGCAATTTTAACAGGGTTGCTATCAGGCCTCCACCTGTTACCTGCATAAGGTGAAATGCCCATCCTCGGTCACAGAACTTCTACCACACAATAGTGGGATTCAGAAGTTGCTGCCAGTGAAAACTATTACCAGCTACTGCCTGTACTGTGGAAACAGTCTTATTGATATTGGGCAAGTCCTCCACATCCTGATGTGGTTTGACTTCCTAGTGACCCCTCTTCCTCCCAAATGTGGTAGATATACAAAACATGAATGCCTTCTACAGCTTAAAAAAAACCCCAAAACACACACAAAACAATCAAAAAAGACAAATAGTTACAAAAGTTTGCTGGTAAGATGAATACCAGAGTTAGACACGATGGACAAAACAGTGACAAAATACTAACTGCTTGCTGTGTTTTTTTGACCTTTATAGCCTCTTCAGAAGGTGTGGGTACATTACACATTGTTAGATTCAAGGTGGAAGCCACAGAGAAAATAACAGAGAAAGCAGTTGAACACAGCCTCAGAATATCTGAGTTAGAAGACACTTGATTATCTTACCTGTAATTTTTGGTTCTCTAACTAGTTTCTACAAAATACAATATGCCTTTGTTTTATGGAAAGAAGAAGCTAGCAGCTATTGTTCATCAACAACAAGGATCCCAAGATGTGACACAGCTGGAACTAGTGGAAGGTTTACAAGCAAAGTGTACACAAAATCCTCATAGCAGCCAAGTCCTCCTTCTGTGTGTGTCTGACATACACATGGTGAGGAGTTGCTGATGGTGCTGGTATTTGAGCAATGTACATGTGGGGATCCCTGGTCTGCAAGCTGCAGCAATGCTCCTTCCGAGAATCTTGGTATTTCTCATAGAATAATGATCTGCTCTCAGGAAATTCCTAGCACGAAAACGTGTTTCCTTTTGTCAAAACCAAAAGGTATTACTATTTAAAACCAGCAGCAAGCTCTTCATTTTCCAGTAAAACGTCTGCAGCCCTTTCTAAAGAATGGAACAAGTCCACAAGGGCTGTAGATATACTTTGGTCAATCCTTTGCTTATGTAGTTTGTCTTTTGATTTTTTAATAGAACCAAGTGATATAAAGTGACATACCAAATGAAAGATATTTACAAAACAGTATAAAATAAGCTACTGTGGTATCATAGGAACATGTGACATTTTCTAAGGACATACTGTGTTAGAGGTAGGTGAAAAAGGGGAGATGATTCTGTAACCTTCAAATATCCCAGGATCCTCCATTCACTAGTTTTTCTTCTTTTGCATTATTTTATTTTATATTTTTGCAGACACAGAGGGCTTATAACAACTTTAATGCTTAGTTTTTTGACATATTAAGATCACCCTACTATTATTTAAAGCAGTGCACATCTTCGTTTGGTCCAAATAGGCAGATTCTGCCCATAGTTTGAGACTGTATGTAAGTACTTTGAAGCCTTTGCTTCTCTCTGTCTGGGCAGACCTAATACCAGTATGTCAACAATGGCTTAATCAAACCTCTTTTAAAGAAGATCACAACCACAGGTTAACACTTTTTCAACAAGCACTGTTTAAATGCTGATGGTCGCTGAGAGAGAAGACATCCCTTAGCTAATTTTCCATGCCCGTCTTTGCACTGGACAGTCCTGGTGTGCCATCCTGTGTCACATGTTCGAGAACAAGAAAGCCACGGCCCCGTAACCCAGCGGGGTTGTGTGAGCTGTGGAGTTACTTTGCTGCTGCTGCTACCACTGCTGGTGACGGAGTTAGTTATTTGCCCTTGCTTCTTCGGCACGAAGAAACTATAGCGAACATCCACGGGTTGAGTTGGATCAGTCGCAAGTATCTGCACAATAAGAACCTCTTTTGTGGCAGAGTGACCCATTGCGTGCAAGAAATCATCTTTGTGACTCCAGCCGCTGTAGTTCATGACAGTCCCATTGATGTCGATGATTGTTTCTGAGGTGGAGATCATGTATTTTCCATTGACAAGGTACTCACCGTTTTTCTTTTTCAGGGCCAGGTAGGCAGTGAACCTGCTCTGGTCCTTAGTTTTGAACTGCCGAACTTTGATGTGGGTTGCCCCTTCTGGAATTTTCACTACATCTGTGTAGCCCTTGCTGAATGAAGGGAAAAAAAAAGAAAAAAAAAAAAGAGTATTCAGTAGCTAGTGTGAAATAAGCCTCAAGTCTTACTGCAATGCCTAATGAAGTCACTGCCATGACACATCTTGCCTAGCTTTAGTTCAGGCCCTGAATCCATCTGGCTTGAGGCTCATCTAAAATTAATTTAATCAGGTTATGCTGTTTGTCTATTGTATTGTTCTTTATGTTCTTGAAGAAATTTCTACTGCACTTATTTCAGATTGCTTCATCTTTAGCTTTAGCAATGATTTTATGTGAGTCAGATACAAGAGGAATGAAAAATAACAGATAGCTTATATATTTCAGTAAAGGGTGGGAGATATGAAATACGATGCACATTTTGCCTGCCAAGGAAAAGATAATGAGATATGCATTGGTTACAGCTGTTTTGCGCTGTCTTTGCTATAATGATGATTAAGGAAAGCATGAGCAGAGTAACAGCTGGGTAGAGGTACCTTGGGAACATTTAAAAACAATCTTGATCACTGAGAAAAAAATTTGTTTACTTTGAAATTCATAAAGCCGAAGATTAATTGTCAAGTGCCTAATAGGAGGTGCACCCAAATGTTTAATGTGTACTATCACTGAGTTCTCGCTGTTGCTACTTACGAAGTATCTTAAGTCAGATTCAGAAAAAGATACTTAACTCTTTTACTGAAAGTGACAAGCATTCAAAACCTGCAAGTGTGCTGGAACTTATCACTATCCTAAAAGTATGTTATTTATTTTAACTTTACTGATATGTAGAAAAAATCTAAAGACTATACATAGCTATAAGATACCAGGTGGAGTTTGGAGACATGTATTTTCATTTCTAAACCCGTGACAAAACCATTCTACAAGCATTTCATATCTGAAAAGTTTACTGATGAAACTTCTAGAAAAAAAAAGAATGAGAAAACATACTAAAAATCTATAAAAGTGAAGGGATCTCCTTTGGGATTGTTTAAAGAACAGACTGCTAATATCGAGAATTTTTGGCTGCACAAGTAGAGGCTGCACAGACTACAGATTAAACACTTGTGCTATTCCCCTGTTATTTCCAGCAGTAATGGAACAATGACTAAAACTCTATTGATTTAGCACCTCCAGAAAGCCAAAGGAATATGGTGCAAAAAACAGGCTGGGGGGGAACTCCGCTCTACAGCACTGCACAAATATTTTTACATAACAGTTGCCAAAATAACTCTGTTAAAACATGTTAACTAAAGTTACAAAATCATTTGTACAAAACCTAAAAGCACTGCTGGAGAATTCAAGCCATCTGCACAAAGAACTGGAACACTCCATGTGCACAAAGAAGCATGTGCAGCTTTAATTCTCCTCCTTCCCAACTTCTGACAATTTGGCTTTACTCTTAGGAAACAAGTTTTCCAGAAGTTTATGTTTTGAGTGCTTTAAAAGAAAAAGTACAAACAAATGTTATGGAAATTGTCTGCGACAGGACATACTGGTTTCCCCTTCTACATTTAATAGTTTCCTTGTACATTTAATGTACAGATTGCTACAGTTTAGTTTATAACGGACAGCAATACAAGAGTGGCTATTTTTCAGTCGAGAAAAGATAGTTTTACTTTCAGGTGAGGCCTATTTACATATGAAAGGCCACTGTCCTTTCATATGTAAAAACAGTTTACATACAATTAAGATTTCACTATTTTAACAAGGAGTTTATTTTGAAGTCAGTTACTCACATAAGGGACTTGTCTCAAACAGTATTTCCAGTACAAAGTAAATCCTTGTCACTCCAAAATTCAATCAAAATCAAGTTAGAACGTAGTTGTTACTTACAGGTTGACTATTACTTTTTATCTGGGGCAACTTTTTGAATGCAATGAGGTTGAATTAGTATTTTATGCTCTGACCAATCTAACTTCAGTTAAAGGCATGATTTGAGGAGTAAGATGGTAACTTCATAGGAATAATTATAATAGAAACTCTCAATTTCCAAGTATATCTAGGCTACAAATTTGGCCTCACTGAAATTCATGGAGTCCCTTTAACATTTTTGCTGAAGCCTGGATTCCAGCACAAGGATCTTTATTGAATCACATGAGGTATATCTCACGCTGTCTTCTTCATTTAGACATCCTAGACTTTTCAATATTTACAAATCGGAAAAGATTTGGTTTATATAATTACTAATTTGGATGGAAAATCATTCTTCCTGGCAGAGGTGTTTTGGCATCCTTAGGTGAGTAATCATTGGTTTACCAGGAAGAAGATTAGTTATGTTTATTTTTAGAATAAATTCACTCTCAAAGCCATTTTTGACTGCTATTAATCAGGATGTTGAAATGTACAGAAATAAAAGGTCATTTCAGGTGTCAGATTTCAACTTCTGGCAGCTTTCAATATGTTTCAACTTCTGGCAGCTTTCAATATGCTATGTAAGAATTTTGAAGATATAAACCAAAATGAAATTTATGTACATTTTAAAAGATGGTATAATAATGCAGTCACAGATACTGAGTAGAAATTGTCAACTGGAAGCTCCTAAGACTAGATCACTACAGTGGTGCTTTGAGACCTTGGAATTTATATAAATGATGATTAAAAATCCTCATTTTAATATGAATCTTAAGACTTGAAGAGGGAGAGAAACAAGAGTTCAAACAGAAAGCAGATTTACTTGACATTGGTGTCTCAGTACAAAGCTTACTGCTGTCCTCAAAATGGTCAGGGAAAAACATGGGGGTGGTTCCTTTTATTTTACTTGTATTAAGTTTTATTATAGTTAAAAGCTGAACTCTGACAGCAAAATGCCTTATAGATAGCTGCTATAAATATTTTGACTTTAAAAAAATCCATCTGGAGATTGATATTATGCCAATGGACATGATTTTAATTCTGACATCTCATCAAGTCTTCTAAGCTCCACATATACTCAGCAGTGTGAAAAGGTATTTTTAGGGTATAAGCCCTCTCAGCTATTAAGGAAGACTTCTACAGCTGTGCTCTAATGCTGTCTGCTTCTCCCCACTGACTACACAGGAATCAGTGTCACTAAATCATGTGCGATGTCCTCATTGTTATTCAAAGTTAGATGAGATGAAACACATTCTCAGCATGTAACTTGCTAACACAGCATTATCTTGGAAATGCAGACCTTCAGAGATATCCAGATTATTCTGACCCCAACAACTTTCTGACTTCTGTTCCCTTTCCTCTCTCCTCTAGAAACCACATGCCATCCAACACAGCAAGATTAGTAAATAGCACAAGATTCTATGCTGTATTCTAGGCAGGCCTCCTATTAATGGGGTGCTCACCTCTATCACTGGTACTTTGTGTGAGAAATGAACCAGGCACAATGTTTTGCTAGTTGATTATTTGCCAGTTTTGCGGTAATGTTAAGAGGCCAGCTGTTAATATCTGGAAAGTGCAGTAAAGCAGAGGCAATGTACTTTTTTGCTCAATCTTCACATGAAGGTAAATTGCCTTTAGAGGCAGGAAGAAAGCAAGCACATAGCAGAGTTACTGTTTGCAAAATAACATACATTTACTGATACTCAAGATCAATACCTCTTTTTGGTAAATGTTCCCATGACTTTTGTGCAGCTGGAATTGTCTCCTCCACACACCCCGCATTTGTCATACTGGAGCTTTGAACCGATGATGCCATCGCAACCAGTTCGGATGCATTTTCCCCGGACACAGACTGAATTACTGTATGGTCGACATTCAGTACCATCAGTTACCTAGGCAATAAAATGACTGTTAGTTAAAACTACCATGGAAAAGATTTGCTTTTGTGAATCTGACTGGCAAAACCCAGTTACTTACTTAATGTGACCTACTCAGAACAGAGTGCCTACCTTGACAGACCAGTTTCTCTAACGCTCCCAGCACAAAACCAGATGAAATTTAGCAAAGGGCTGGAAGCAGTGATAGATAACTCCACTGTAAGACACTAAGATGACCCTGGCTTTAATGATCTGACAGCTTATTAATAGTCAGAATAACAGTTCTTGTAGATAGCCTTGCATTTTAGCTATCTACATCTAAATGTTACCTTCATAACATTTAGAGGCAGAATATTGCAAGTATAAGAGTAGGAGACTTTTCAGTTTGAATTGCGCCTGATATAATAAACTGACAATGAGTCTCACTTACACTAACTGGCTAATTATTCTATATTAATTAGCTCTGTAAGATTTACTCTGGACTCCCTTAACATAACTCAGGGTAAAACTCATTCCTTTACTGTTAGTACTCTTTTCCCTCCAGAAAATCCCAGAATGACAGATGAGTCTGCAGGCAGAATCCCTTTATCTGCTACTGAAAACAAATCAGTGCAGAGTGCACCAAGAGGTCCATATATTTCATGAATCCACATACTGAGATGTGCAAAAGCTTACCTCATTTTAGAGGCCTATTCTGATCCCATTGTATAACCACTGGATCAAACCATTAAAGCTAATCACACAGTTAAATCTTTGAATCACATTATTATCTTCTTTTCCCTTGCAGGGAAAGATTTCTAAGATACGGGAAACTTCTAAACTGGAGCATAAAATCATGACTGGAGATGCCATTACCTTCTGAGAAAATACCACGTAATAGCCAGTTCCTTTGGCTCGGCAGGTGAGCTTGCAAACGTCTCCAGGAAGTACTCCAGCATACTTGGGGACCCATTCAACAAATGTCTTGACACCCTTTGCATCAGACTGATAGCCATTCCTTGCTTCACACTGCTCTTGTCGGAAAGATTTAGCTGTAGAATTATGCACATCATTAGTGCGTATTTCAGACCATGCTGCAAATATCATTATGCCCATCTATTATTCAAATTTATTATTTACATAATTTTTAAGTTACATCACCTCTTTACTTAGAACTGGCCTTCAAATCCTTCAACTGTTTTAGTTTGGAAATCTTCCCATGACATAATAATAAGCATTAAAGGACTAAAGTCTGCATTACAGTTCATTTTCCAGGATGGAAATTTCTTTTCATTCAGGTGTCCCTTCTGTATGGCATCAGGGTGGGGATGGGGGAATAATTATGGTAATGTATTGATGATGAATGTCCTGCCTTGGTAAATACATTTTGGAGAAACTACAAGGGACCTTTGTTGTTTTCTGTCACAGCAGATGTTCAATATTTACTATCTATGAACACACAGGCTGGAGAACAAAGTCACCTTGGCATGAAGGCACTTACCATTTGCTGGGCAGGGCGTGACGTTGCAGGAGCGGTAGATGGCCCTCTTGCCAGTGCAGTACCGGCCATTGTTTCTAGGAGCTGGATTATTGCAGTGACGATAAGCAAACTGAACTCCTCCGCCACAGGTACGGGAGCACTGTCCCCAAGGTCCCCAGGACCCCCAGTTACCATGGCTTGAAGCCTGAAATATATGGAACAGTGGGAGGTAAGGATATCATCCAAGTGTGAATAAAGATGTTACATCTCAAAGACACTGCTAATGTTGTCCTCCATTGAAGGCGATTCCTTGGTCATTTTAAGCAGAGATAACAGGTCTTAGGAGCCTTCTTTCTCCCAGCACAGTTAATTTCTGTTTTCTATCTGCACAGGGATGGCATCTCATTTGGCACTGTGCATGCAAAGGCAATATTAGGCCTTGGTCTGCGTTGATGCATTCAGCCTGTTTCATGGAAGACACCCATGCACCAGAAATAGCACCCACAGTCTCATGTGCTGCTCTCTTATATTTTGCTGTTCTGACCAACAGGGCCCCTTAAACTAGCTCCAGGGGATCTGGCTCCTAGAGTATGTTCATAAGGCCAATCTATGATTAATTAAATGCAATTATTGTGATGTGCAGGTATTTCTCTGAATTACTGGCAAGAGACAGTGTTGTCAGATATAGTTTGCAATTCTGCTCAAATTTACTACCTAAAAAGAGTATTGTCGCAGCATGTGGAAGTATATAGTTCCATAAAAAAGAGTCTTATAAGGGCTGTAGCTTGATCTGAATGACTTTTCTAGTTTGCAAGTATCTTCACAAAGCTCTACAAATCCATATCTCTTCTGTGGGCATAACAGAGGGGGCACTGCTGTCTAGCCAGTAAATGTAGAAGAAGCTAAACTGTGCAGCTGACAGTTCTTATGAGCCTGGGGACTCTTCAGATATATAAAGTTGACAGAGGGGCCTCTGTCACTGGAGGTACAAACTTTTCTGCTCCAGAAATTATATTCTGGATGAACTTCATCCACCTTTCTATTCACTAGAGTTAGGGCCCTGGGGCCTTTCAGATGAGGGCTGTAAATTAAATTTACAGATTTAATTTACCTTGTAGTCCATTGCCAAGAAGTGAGGAAGCTAGAACAGGCCCTTCAAAATCTTTCTGTATGTCCTGAGACCTGATCTACTGAATGGGCAAATCCTCTACTCTGAAGGCATGCTTCCAGTTTTCCAGGAATGAAAGCTTTCATGCTTCAAGCAGAAAACATACTTCCTGAAACTCAGCAGCATTTTTCCTATATCCCTCATCAATAACACTCCCAATTACATGCTAAAAAATACAGCATCTTTCAATCTTATTTCCATAAAATCCTTTTCACTCCCACAAAAATCAGCACCTTTGAGGATCATGCCTTCTAAAATTTCCTAGGGTCACAGCTGGCAACTTACTGAGTAGTATTTCTTCTTGGTTTTGTCAACACATTTTCCCTGGAGGCAGATCCTCCCTTTTCCACATGGTGTTCCCTCCACAGCAGGCAGCTTCTTAGTCAGACAAACCATCTGACCTTGGCGGACAACTGCACACCAGAGGCGAGAGCACACATCCATACCAGGACACACTGTGTATTCGGGTCCGAACGCCAGTTTGCACTGACGAATGGCATCGTAGGTTTGTCCTGGAAGTTCCTCAGGGCCCATGATCTGCTTTCTCGGTTGGTCCAGCAGACAGTTACCTAAAGAACAAACCAACCTATTATTATTACTCACTCCTAGTTTCCTCTGTAGTGCTGCAAATCTGTCATTCAAGTTAGGAAGACTGATAATGACAGTTAACCTCATTCAGAGGATGCTGACATGAATGGAAGGACTCTCTGACGTGTCATCAGGTTTTGGACAAGGTCGTACTTTTGCAACTGTGTTCTCACCCTGCAGCACACCAGGTGTCGAGGTGCCTATTTCCAGTCTGAGGGTGTAAATGATGAGTTTTACTCAGGTCTCTTTGGCCTTTCATTCTAGTTGCCTATATTTGAATTGACTCTGAACACATTCCACTCTATTTATCAGTTTGTGATTTAAGGAATGGTCAAGACTTACAGCAAAGTAAGCAAAGTTGTCACTTGAAGTTTGAGACAGAATGTTAGAAATGATACAGGTTCTAAATGAATGCCAGAAAAATCACAAAAAACAGCCCTTTAGCCAATGAGAAACTTTTTTAAAAAAAAAGCAAAAAGCCAGAAAAATCCCCAACAGATCAAAGAAAAAATGTAAGCTGCATATGAAAACTAATGTTGGTGGTAAATTTTGGTCTGGGCTTTCCTTGTAAGGAATGATACTTGGCTGCTTCTGGAATGAGTTTGAAGAGGGCTATCCATTTTATACAAAAATACATAAATAAAAGTAAGAAAAGAAAAAATAACAATAACATAAAGAATTGTATATGTGTTTTGAGATATATTGCAGAGGTCAAGATTTGTCTGGCACACTCTAAAAATGAGAATTCACATTTAGGTTCTAGAGGATCTACTGACATGGGTGGGTTTTTTTTTACTATTGAAACCTCACTTCTTGACATGCAGAACTATTTATTCAGTGTAGCCTCTTTTGTACTTCATGAAAGGGATATGTGGTCTGGGCAAGCTTCACTTATCCTTGGCCAAAATAGCTTACCACAATTTACCTCACTTTGGAACCTACACCAGTATTCTTCAGCTGGATCATGGGTGAAAAAAGGCTATCCATAAAATACTACCTATTTATACAAAATGGAATAGAATTTCACGTTATGTCAGTAAATTTAAACAAACCGATACCCCATCTCTCAATAGCTTGGGTTTTCCCTCCAGAACACATATTGCAACTGTTCTTTTTTTCCTCTAAAGACTAAGGCCAATTAGCCAAATCAACCAAAAATTCTTCCTGCATCATCACTTACTGCTAAAAAACTCTATGTCTTGTTAAACCTGTTCCATTTGTCCTTTGCTGTCCCTGATTTACCCTAGCCTTATCTTTAATCTGGATTATGCTGATTTTTTTAATGCAGACAAGGTGTGTCAAGGCTAATTGATGAGCTGAGTGCCATGAGATAAAGATAATAAAAAGTACCCTAGACTTCAAAGCCTGTTGTAGTGTAAAATACTAGAGATATGGTGAAGAGTGAGGAAGCACATTTTTTTTCTTTTTTAATTTCTGAAAAGGACATAACTGGCAAAAGTTGCTGTCAAAAATACACATAAACAACAGCATAAGTCCTACTTCATATACCCTGTGTTGAGGGAGGAAGCTAGTACAGTGGTGTTAGGGCAGTGACAGAAAGGCACTGGCATGTCAACGTTCAGTAGTATACACCACTATTGTATATATACTGCAGTTTATCAAACTCCCGAGTGGAACCATTATTCAGTATTCTAAAACATTGTTATAATACTTAATTTTTCCATGACACACACTGCTGCCTATCACTGAGACCTACTATGAATGACTGACATGATTGGAACTATAGAGAAAAATTAGAGAAAAAGAAAAAATAAGCCACATCCTTGCATATACTAAATCTGTCAATCATTTTAGTTACCCATTTGAATACCTTTCACATGTGAATAAGAAACAGATTTCACAAGTTTACATAGCAAATATAGCATTTTTTCCCTCCACAACACAGGGGAATGAGATCCAAACTTCTTAACTGATACTGCTCTGAGGAAACATGCATAATTTCTATAGAGTCAGGTGTTCCAGCTGATCTCACATGATACATTCAAAACTGAAGATAGCAAAGGGCCCTGAGGATACCCCACAGGAAAAAAAAAAAAAGTCTTTACATTTATTTACATTTATAGATAGTAGCAGTGTCTACATTTAGACAGTTTACAATGAAGTGCAGGTGTTTTTATCACCAGCTGGTCCACATTCCCACTTGTAATGGTCAGAAAAGACAGAGTTAAGAAGTTAGAGACTGGTTTGTCCTGGGCCCCCTGGCTGAGAGGGCAGAGAGGGCTTCAATTCCCTACATTACACTGCAACATACAGAGCGTGTAATATTGCTATTCCCATTTTTTGTCCTGAGTACCAAAGAACATCTGTGTACCCTGGAACAGAGCAACATTGTTGGCTGATGACAGTATTAATTAAGCCACCTCATTATCTCTCCTCAGTGTTATGTGTAATAAAAAAGCAGAATAAGATCTGTGCAGGAAGCAGATAACCAGGATATAAATTAATTAAAACAGAAATAGTCCTTGTTTCAGGTTGTACAGAGCACTGAGCACTCTGACTAAACACAATAAATCACAAGCAATCATACCACAGCCTCATGGTTGGCATGACAATAAAGGCAATTAGTACCTTAAGAGAGGGGCTGGTTAAAAGCAGATGGAAATAAATGTCACTGTCTTCTGGACACTAACTCAGCCTTTTCTTCCTAAATGTCAAACTGCTGTCTGGGGTCATCTCATGAGTATAAAACAAATGGTGGTATCATGACAATGATGCTTATAGTTCTCAGAGTGGGCCTCAGGAGACAGGGAATCAGCACCTTGATCCTCCCCAGACCTCCTGGTTGACCTTGGACAAGTCACTTATATTGGGATTTATTTAGCTGACTTTAACTGTATGTAATGCTGGTGTCTGCAATTCAGTCAACTATCAGATGTTTCACTACTCAGGCAAACGAGTTTATGGTGTAATTCAGCACCACTAATGCAACTGATGAGATCAGTCAAACCACTGATGCCATTGATTAGACCCCTCTGCACTATGATGGGGACCTGAATGCCTGGTTTAGGAGTAGCTACAGACATAGTAAACACCCACATTTTATAAGATGAGTCCACTTTCTAACATCACTTTCCGAATTTAGAAAGCAGGAACATCAGTACTTGACAAAGTGACATTAATGAATTAGAGTCAAGACTGTCATGTTTTCTGTTACAGCAGTATGGGGTGAATATCTAAATCTATATGGAAAGCTTACTTAGAGCTTTGACAAGATTTTGGCTGTTCTTTTGTAATAGAATACTGCTCACAGATCCAAACTGCTGGAGTCCATTCACATTTCATTATGTGTACCCATAAGGAACAGCAGACAAAGCACTTTATTTATTTCCTTACACCAATGCTGCCATGCCCTGTTTGTCACAAAGCACAGTTCATAAACTCATGCCCAGTGAAAACTGCTTATGCTGCCTATCAGAGAATGGAAGAGTCCTCTTTGCCAGTGTTTCCCCCATAAACTTCCTGTGACTATGCAAAATCTGGTCACAAACATCCTAGAAGAAAGCCTGGTATGTGAATACCTGTATTCTTTTGTTGCAACTGCTATTTTGTGCTTTCCTTTTCTACATTATGCCTGCAGCACAGCTCAAAACTACATGCTTAAGGTTTTTAGGAGCACTTGAGAGAGATAGATTTTTCTTCTTTCTATGGGAAGACTGGAGGGGACCTCCTTCTTGAAAACAAAAAGGGAGGGGAAATACTGCAACAGTACATCTACCCCTGCCAAGGAAAAAAATGAGCAACCCAAAAAGCAGATACATGCTTATTCTGAAGGAAACAGGGAATATGGCACATCTGCACTGTTCTATTATCAGCCCAAATCAGTCTGAAAGGCAGTGTCATGCTCTACGAGGATCCTGTGGTTTCTGGTAAGCTCAGCATATGTTACAAATGGGAATTATAGAGCTATGGATTCATTCACTGTCTGGAAGAAGAAAATAAAACCAGAAGTTCCCTTCCTAAAATAACATATGTCCTTTCAGCATAATAATTTGAAGAAACTGCAATGTAATTTATTGACTTCAATTTTTACTTCATAGATAGTGTTTGTGTTCTGTTAAGACAAGTAATTGATTTAAAATTAAAAAAAAATATAAACTTAAAAAGAAAAGGAAGATAGAAAAAGTCTCTGAAGGACCGATCTATCAAGAAAAGATTCCCTAAACATTGTGTATTTGAAATCACACCAATAGCATCAGTAATAAAAGTAATGCCTAGAGGACTATGGACCTCTATGATGACAGGTTCAAATTTTCTATGAGTGATTTCATCACATCGGTAACTCTTTGAGACTACGTTCCTGAGTGATAACTACTCATGAGTATCAGAAAGGGCAATGTACGCCAACCCATCTGCTATCAGACTGACAGATCCTAAGCCCTTTACATGCAGCAAAGAATATATGGCTTTGTGATAAGTGTCAGCAGTTGAGGACTGCCAAACTTCTTGTACAGGCAGTCAGCATGCATGATGAACAAGGAGACCATAATGCAGTTCTGAAGGATGTGAAACTCCTACCTACTTTTACTGAAAAAAACAGGCAGAGTTATATTCTTAGACCTGTAGGACTGATTGTTACACCCCCTCCCTAACCTCCACACTGAGGCTGGATCCAGCTCATGGATGAGTCCAAATTTCAAGCATTCCCCAGGTACAAACAAGCCAAAGGTGAGGGGGGTGGGAGAAATGCTCTCTTTGCTTTCTTTATTGTTGGAGAATGTAGCTAGCTGGATGCATAGTAAAAAGAAGTCAGGTCACAAAAAAAACAAAAATGAGAGCAGCTTTTCTACCTGCCTGCAGCAGGAGAGGAACAGAAGAGGCAATGTAGTTCAGAGCTCCTTGAGGTCTCTAAGAGGTCATACATGGATGGGAAGCAGGACCCCTTTTTTTTACCCCAGTGAACTGTACTGTATCTCAGTAACTAAACTCAAAAAGGAAAGTTCTCTTCATATATGGAAACTAACTTGATAACATTAAGTCAATGCCAGAGCAATATGGACCATAAAACAGGACAGTACAGATTAATGGATCTAATAAATTGAGAGAAAATAAATCATTCTCCAACAGAGGAAAACAGGAGAAAATATTTCAGAGCACACTGAAATTAGTCGACAAAATATTGAAGAGCAAAAAAATCTTTACATTCAGCAGATGTACTATACTCTTTAACCATAAGCATTTCAGTTACCATAACAACTTGATCCATTCACTTAATTATGTCATTTTTATCTCAGCATTCTGGAATTTGAATGGTTTGTTTAAGAACTGCAGTTGCTTTGGGAGCACAATGAAGGCTTTAAAATTCATTAGAGACTGAAGACTATGATTTTTTATTACTACTTTTGGAAAATGAAAGTTTTGCACCTATTCTTCAAAAGGTAAATGACATTTAACAAATATTAGTTACATGACTTGGAAGGTAAACTCCTGGGGCAGAAGTAATATTTTGTGATATACAGCACAGAGAAGACTTTAATTCTTTCTTACAGCCCCTGTACACAAACATAATAAATATAATGGCACTATAAACATAATAAATGTCATTAATGGTAACAAGAATACATGCACTATGCTCACATCTGTAGTCTAACGCTAAGTAGACCGTATCACTCATTTTTATTTCTGTGAGCAAAAAGCCATTTCCTTGTGTCCCCTGTTTAAAGTACTCTCTAAGCTCGTATCTGTGGCATTTGGGAAGACAAGAGTAATTTTGTGCTTTTAAAAAAACCTCTCCATGTTCCAAACCAAATTATTGCCAACACACAGTCAGTCCATCAGCTCCTTCTTTTCTCTTGCATTTGAACCATGCAAAAGAAAGGTGAGACTCTGACAGCCTTTTAGACATTTGCCTTGTTCTGCAAGAATTTCCAAAATTTCCAAGATAGTCCTGAAGATGAGCAATGAATGAACAAGCTGGTATAAAATGTTCTTATTAAAAAAATGGATCACGTGAAAATTAACATGCAGCTGACACAAGGTGTGACATACCATGACCATCATCGAAAAATTCTGTTATAGTTGCTGAAGTGCATTTGGACCACGGTTTCGAAGCATCTATGCTAGTCAGAATGGAGGACATCAGGCGCTTATCTTCCATGGAGCCAAAGTTCTCCTCACAAAATTTGGAGTCATCATGGGAAAGCCCAAGCAGGTGCCCTATAGAAATGAAACAAATTAATAAAATGATATAACTATCCATAACAGAGTTTACCAGCTGGAGCTCACAATCCAGGTAAAATGAATTGTGTCATTAATTTTCAAATTTTGAACAGCGGCACAAAGCAGGCCACTTGAAATGTGGTATCTCTGCTTGAAGACAAAAAAGCTGTGACAATTTACATCATTACATATAGCAAGGAAGTAATGCCATCAGCTGACATGCCATCGAACTGTGCTAACTGAAACCTGATGAAGACTAAAGTGAACTGTACTTATATTAGTAAGAACTACTATTTTTCTAAATCATCTTTGGCAAGAAAGACTAATACTTCACTCTGTAAAGATGTTCTGCAACTGTCTACAAAGGTGCTACAATATCTTTATAAATGAACAAAAATGCTAGTATTTATGGAGCAACAAAACAAACTGTACATAAATTCTTAAAGTGCGCTCCTCACATTCTACAATATATCAGACAAACTGAATACTGTTTTCAAATAGTCTTTTCCATGTAGATAGTCTTGGTTTGTGAGAGGGTGCTTTTTTGTATTGTTTTGGTTAGGATTTTAGTTTTGCTGGGTTTTATTTTCAAATGTATGTGGCATTGGATATTTATACTTCAGAACACAAAATAATGTGCATATAAAGCAGCTTATGATGGAACTTGCAGAAATCCTTAATGTCCAGTGCTAGAGAAGTTCTCATACGTGCGACAGCAACCTTTTCTGTAGATCAGCTATCCCCATCTTCTCTAGCCTCTGAGCAACAATAATAGATTGCAGGTAACACACTTTGTTCCCTCTGTAAACATCGGGTTTAGCTTTAATTTTCAGGTCCACACTGGATTATTTCACAGCCAACTTACTATCCAAGAGCTAGAAGGCCAAAGGGGAACCAAAGCTGCAGGGAGCTCAAGCCTGAATTTAACACTCATAGTCTTCAACCTAGGCCAGGCATTGATAAGGACAAAGCCCATCCATCAAAGACACTGCAGAGAAATAAACCTGATGACCTCAAATAGCAGCTGAAGACACGCATTGCATTACTCTGCAATAACTAAAAGCCACCTATGTACTGTCGGCTTTGTGTTTTGGTGTAACTGCTGTAGACTAGCTGTAAGGTGACAGAAGTGAGGACACTGATGGCAGAATATCATGTTCTGATATCCATAGAAATACGCATGACAATTAGTAATAACAATAATAGTAATAACAATAATGCAGGCTGGAAAAGAAGAAAATCAATAAATTTTACCTATTTGCTTTATATAAACTTGCTGTTATGTTGTTTTCATCTGCTTCGGGGGAGTAGCCAAGAGGAGAGAGATGGAGGCAGCACTCACTGCTGAGCTGTATCTGAGGCTAGGAAAGTAGCTATCTTACCAGAGATCTGTGTTAAGGCTACAGGAGATCAGAAATCAGGGTTTCTGTCCTGAGAGAGAAGCTAATGTATCATCTGGCAGCCTTACTCCCATGCTGGGTTCCTGACCTAAGGATGGAGCTACAGGAAAAGTGACAAGACATCCTTTTGTAGCAGAGATGACTGAGAACAGTCAGTCTGTCTTCTGCAGCTAATGAATCCTCACTGGAAGGGAGGTAGGAAGGAGAGTGAAGAGAGCATTTCTCTTTTTCTTCCTTCTTCCTCTGATGTGCACACATTTACCAACACCATTTAAATACAGCTACTATTTGAATAAAAGGCTTTGTAGTTACATAAATGCTGGCAAGATTTTATTCAAGGAATCTGGGTTAACACTGATGAGAGTTAATACTCCTTTCCCTGTTACTACTTTTGCTAATTACTGCAATGCTATATCACAAGTACATCGCTGCAAAAGCATAATGAATCAGACTTTCACACTGACGGCATGTCTAATAAGTAGTGTGGTTTATATGCAAGATTTGGACTTAATTTTTTCTGACATGTAAAACCATTTTCCTTTGGCAATACTTATATATGGGCCAGATAATGTTATTTATTTTTATTCTTCACTGAGACACAATTGAGTATCAGTAGGTGCATGTTATGTTTCAATCTGATATAGCACTATATAAATACTTGCTCTGAAGACATGACATCTTTGTTTTGTTTAAGCTAAATGATGGTGTTGAGCAAAATAATTCACTAGCAAGATTATTATTTCAAACAGACACATTTCTCTGACAGAGTAACCAAGTAATCAGTGCATCACTTCTAATCTATAGAGCAAATTCTGTGTAAATGTCACAGGCTAAGTGTTTAATGAATCAGCAGCTACAGTGCCAATGAGGACTACCCCTGACTTTGCCAAAGTCCTAGATGCCAACAACGACAGTCTTCAGGAAATGCAAAGATGATGTTATTTTTGGCTGCCATTCTATACAATGTTATCGCTAAGCTTATACTCAAGCTAATGCACTCAACGGCACCAGGTCACACCTCATGTCAGAACTATGAGCAGAGCTGACAGGTTAATGAACCTCAATGCAGGCCTAGTAGCAGCAGAACTAGAACCATTTTCTGCTGACATTAATTAATGCCTTGTAACAGGTTTCACCAGTGTTTTGCTAACTTAAGCATTTACTGGAGAGGGCTTTGGCCTATTCTCTAGCTTTTGTTGACAGACCCCTCAATAGGTGGTACAGCTCCCCATTTAAGTCAGGACCTCACACACTCTGCTTTGCAGAGGTGTTCAGGAGTTTCAGCCAGTTTCTTCTATTTTGCTTGAATCCATGCACTTGAATATGCATATAATACTAATCAATCAAACTGGAATATTTACAAAAACTTAGCTCAGCAACCAAGAAAATATCATGCTAGTTAGACCTAAGCCTCACTATAGCCATTTTCTCAGAGGCAACTTGTATGCTTAAAGGTTGCAGGAAGAATGCTTTTGTATTTAATGTCCCAAGACTGCTCATATTTGCAGAAATTACTTCACTGCAGCATGCTTATGAAATAAGGTAATGAGATTCTGTCAGTGGAAAAGGAATTTGATTTCTAAGTCACTGGACTTGGTACTAAACAGCTCTAGGTGAATAACAAAAGCTGGAGAATTATTCTAAAAAGTTCAGCTGAATAACACCACATGGCACACAATGCACGTTCAGTGTAGGATATGAATAATAGCTGGGTGCAAACCAGCAATTTGAGAACTTAATTTTTCAGAGTGCTCAACATTTTATAGCACCATTCAGAACTATCCAAAACTCTGTGATATGAAGGATTTTGTCTTGTAGGGCAGAATTCATGTTTCTTAAACTTAACACCCTCTGACACTGTTCTGCAACACTCCACACATTTAAGATACGACTTTGCTCTCTATACAAATCTTTTTCTTGCTTAACAGTACTTCACCTTTTGTACCTTTGTTCATCTTACGTGACCGACATCCCACATGAGCACATAATAGAAATACAGTGTAGATACGCACAGGCCCTGTTAATGCTGATGCTTCTGAATATGCAACTTGGACATCTCTTTAAGTTTCTCTGCTACCTATGACATCCTTTTAACACAGCTTTTATGTAAGTTCCTCCTTGCACCAACTTCATCAGCCCTGGCTTTCAAAAGACCTCTTTGTCTTTCTTACGTGTGTTTTTCAGCCCCAGCTCCTCCTGCAGTGCAATTTGTAAGCAACCTCAGCTTAGAACTACCTCCTGTCAGAGTAATGCGGTCACACCACATCAAACTAGAGAGATCCTACAGCCAAGCAATGTGAATGTCCCTGGAGCAGGCCAAGGAGTATATTGTGCTTTAGCTTGCTCCTGGCTTCCCTGCCTGAAGATGGTGCAGTTTCCTTCTCTCTCTACTCTGACAGATGCACTGACACTGCAGGGAATGTAACCACTGAACTGTGGACTAAAACTGTTCTTCCTTTCTTTTTCCTCCTTCATATAGGCAAAACAATAAAATCCTTCAGATATGAGAAAGCTTGCAACCAAAATTCAAGCTCTTCACTTCGAACAGAGAGACTGAAAATTTTTTCATAAAATGACTGCATTAGTCTCCCTCTCAGAAATGGCTGGACATTCTCTGTGGAGAAGTTCAGAGTAAATAAGTAAAACAAAACGCTTCTTGGGTGACTGTTCAGCACAGAACATTTTATCCCAAATGTGCTGGCAAAAGCACAGGAAACTGCAAGAGGATCACCTTCTGGAAAGTGTCAAGCTTCTGGCTTCACCTTTAATTAGAGTGCCGCGTAACTTCTACACTTTACAGTGATAAATGGGGTGAACTGAGGACACACCTCATTAACAGTGTCTACTTTGTCATATTAAATGAGGCCATTGTTCTAATGCATGATGAGAACTAAGTCACTTACTGGGCAGACTTCAGCTTTTTAAGGAGAAGCTTCCCAAAGTATTTCTGAATCTCTTGTTATTTTATTTTTTTTTTAGAAATAATTTTAAAAAATCATGACCAGGAAAGTAGTAAGTAGCCAATAATTTCCAAAATATGTAATTCTGATTGTCAATATTTGAGCTTCTAAATTAGCCACCCATGACCTTAATATCTGTTTATAGCATTAAATACATGGATTCTAGCTTTCCATACTGATATGCCAGTTATACTATGCCAGTTGACTTTGCATGCATGCTTACAAACACTGTGAACGCAATTTTCAAATAATTTTATGGAACTAGAAGTTCTAGTTCTTATCACAACCTACATCCTTCTCCACCCTAACTGTCCCTTTTAAGACATTGACCAGACTTAAAACAGATTAAAGCATATGACAAACTTCCAACGACTCTTAAAATTGTTTTTGCATTTAATTAAAAATAATTAAAATTCAAAATATCACAGCAATGCGTAATCTCTAAATACTGCCTAGCTAAGCGCTATGCTCTTTCTAGGACAGAAGCGACAACAATCAAGTACTTCTACACCTGTGCCCTTTGTCCTTTTGCATCCAAGAATTAAAGAAGGAACACTTCCCTTTCTACTTGAAAAGTCTCCCCCTCACATGCATGAATGTGCTTCTATTATCACATACTGCTCAGAACATTAGGGTG